TCTGGAACAGGCACTGGCTCTGCCTCCGGCTCTGGAACAGGCACTGGCTCTGCCCCCGGCTCTGGAACAGGCACTGGCTCTGCCTCCGGCTCTGGAACAGGCACTGGCTCTGCCTCCGGCTCTGGAACAGGAGACACTGGCTCCGACTCTGGAACAGGCACTGGCTCTGCCCCCGGCTCTGGAACAGGCACTGGCTCTGCCCCCGGCTCTGGAACAGGCACTGGCTCTGCCTCCGGCTCTGGAACAGGCACTGGCTCTGCCTTCGGCTCTGGAACAGGCACTGGCTCTGCCTCCGGCTCTGGAACAGGCACTAGCTCTGCCTCCGGCTCTGGAACAGGCACTTGCTCTGCCTCCGGCTCGGGAACAGGCACTGGCTCTGCCTCCGGCTCTGGAACAGGCACTGGCTCTGCCTCCGGCTCTGGAACAGGCACTGGCTCTGCCTCCGGCTCTGGAACAGGCACTGGCTCTGCCTCCGGCTCTGGAACAGGCACTGGCTCTGCCTCCGGCTCTGGAACAGGCACTGGCTCTGCCTCCGGCTCTGGAACAGGCACTGGCTCTGCCCCCGGCTCTGGAACAGGCACTGGCTCTGCCTCCGGCTCTGGAACAGCACTGGCTCTGCCTCCGGCTCTGGAACGGACACTGGCTCTGCCTCTGGCCCTGGAACAGGAGACACTGGCTCCGACTCTGGAACAGCAGACACGGGCATGTCCAGGATCCGAGCCAGACGCTCCAGATAGTCCAGGTCCATGAAGGCAGATGGAACGTGAACAGTCTCTGATTGGACAGACGGAACGTGAACAGTCTCTGATTGGACAGACGGAACGTGAACAGTCTCTGATTGGACAGACGGAACGTGAACAGTCTCTGACTGGGCAGATGGGACGTGATGTGCAGGCTCGGCAAAGCTGGCGTGGATTTCAGGTTCGGCAGATGGGCCAGGTCGCTGGGGTGGTGTCGGCATGGCGAGCAGCTTGGAAACAACCTCCGGGTTCTTGGGGAGACTGGAGTTCCTCCCTCTCCTCCGCTGTCTCTGATGGTGAGGAACAGACTCTGGGCTGGCCGGGAGCTGCAGTGAACAGAACTCTGGGCCGGGTGGAATCAGCGGCGAATGGAGCTCTGGGCTGTACCTCACCAGCCCAGGGTCAAGGTGGGACCGAAGTAGAGAATGATGCCGGGACTCACCTCTAGCACCTCCTCTCCTGCGACCTCCACGGGTCCTAGAAGATCTGGCCAGATGGGTTCCCTCAAACGAGTCCTTGGGTCTGGTGAAAAGGGACGCGGGAGACTTGCCGGTGAAGCTTCCTCAGTCATCCGAGCCCACAATGCGAAACATTGAAAAATTTTCATACGTGGTGCCTCCATTAGTCTGGGAGGGAACACGGAACCCCGTACAGCTGGATCTTGACATGATGGAGTCCTTCTGTCACGATCCACACTCACAGAGACACAGAAGATCCAATGATGCAGTACAGTATTTATTTAGGGAAATCCGTTACTCACAATACAGTCCAGGCAGGGGTCAACATCCACATAAGCAATCCAAAACACAAGGAACAATAAATAGACAGAAACAGACCTCAGACGTGGTGTGATAATAGATAAGGACTCCATGACAAACACTAACACAGACAGGGTTTATATACATACAGAACTAACAAGGTGACGGGAAACAGCTGTGTGCAATGATCAGATGAGTGGCAGAACAGAATGCTGGGAAATGTAGTTAATCGTGAATGACACCGTGGAAACGAGGACCTCTAGTGATAACCCAGGGAACACAACCCAGACACTGTGACATAATCATCACAATTATAACAAATAAAGGCTTGAAATATCTCACTTTGCATGTAATGAATCTATATAATATTTTTTTATTTTTTTATTTAGCACAACAACAAAACAAATAGATATTAAAACAATACATATGGATTATACAGGAGAGGTAAGAAACCCCCAAGGGCTTATAGTAAAACCTCCCCTCTGGATTTTCAATTAATACTACACCAAATTATTATAATAAATAACAACAATCATCACAATAATGACAGACAATTAAAGATAACACATATACAGAAATTTTAACAATCACACAAGTGTTTTTTCATGCTTGACTTAAATACTGACAATGATGAGCTAGTTTTAATAAAACGAGGAATAGTTTTCCAAAGTGACGGTCCTCTATATTTTAAGGAAAATAGACCAAGAGTTGTATGATAATAGGGAAGATGAACATTCATTGCTTGTCGGGTTGGATATGAATGGACATCAGAGTTAATTAAAAAATAGTTATTAAACACTTTTGGGAGGCTATGATTTTGAACCATATATTTGTACATAAAGATACATGTTTGATAGATATTTATGCTGAAAATAGATAAAATATTTAATTGCTTAAACAGAGGAGCCGATGGTTCACACCGATTAGATGCTGTTGCCAATCTAACAAACTTTTTTTGGATCAAAACGATTTTTTGAAGAGAAGAAGGATAATTACTGGCCCAAACAATGTTACAGTAAGAGATGTGAGGATATAATAGACTATAATAAAGAGTTAAAAGACAGGATTGATTTACCAATGAACAAACTTTTCTAATGATGCCAAGTGACTTCATGATTTTTACACACACATAATCAATGTGGTTTTTCCATAATACCCCTAAAAATTGTTTTACTGTAACTTGATTAATTTCAATGTTGTTAATAAATAATTTAGCATCTTTTTTTAAATACCTTTTATTTTTATTCCTGAAAACTGTATAATTCGATTTTCCTATATTTAATGAAAGTTTGTTCATCTGAAACCACTTGGTGACATATAGTAGAACATCATTAGCTTCATTCATCAAAGAATCAAAGTTTGCATGTGATATGACAACAGTAGTAATCTGACTACAGTATATCATCTGCGAATAGAATAGGCAATGCAGATTCAAACATCCTAGGTCATTTATATAAATGAGAAACAGGAGTGGCCCAAGAATAGATCCCTGAGGTACACCACAACATAACTTAATTCTCTTGGAAGTACTGCCATTTATAAATACATATTGCTCTCTATTAATCAAGTAATCCATAGGCCAATTGATTACAACATCCTGAAACCCATAACGGTAAAGTTTGGAAATCAGAATTTCATAATCGACTGTATCGAAAGCCTTTGATAAATCAAAAAAATATTAGTTACACCTTTTAAGTTGAATTACTGAAATAAATGAACAATATTCAAATTTTTCGAGTTTCACAGGTTTGTGTTACGTCATCTGTGTTTCAGACGGATTGAAGGTGTGTGTGTGTGTGTGTGTGTGTGTGGTAGTCTAGGTCATGTACACAGGCTGGTGGTGTGTGTGTGTGTGTGTGTGTGGTAGTCTAGGTCATGTACACAGGCTGGTGGTGTGTGTGTGTGTGTGTGTGTGGTAGTCTAGGTCATGTACACAGGCTGGTGGTGTGTGTGTGTGTGTGTGTGTGGTAGTCTAGGTCATGTACACAGGCTGGTGGTGTGTGTGTGTGTGTGTGGACTTTGCATTGGGGGGATTTCTACAACAGGGGTCAGACAGTAGCAAAGCCCTGCTCAATCTCAGCAACTATAGCAATCATGTTTATTTGGAAAAGACGATGTTTGCTGTACCCTCACAACTCTAGTAATCCATAACAATGTGCTGATTTGTTTTAATCTGTTGAATTATTCAAAAAATGTGATTCCAAATGAAATTAACTTGTAATGTGGAATCAAATAAAGTATATAAAATGCGTGTCATTTACAGATGAGTGTGTGTGAGGGTGTGGACATGAGAAGAGTCAGACACTGAGACACGAGGCATCAAATCACACGCTGTAAATATAAATAGCATCATGTTGAAGCAGAAATCTAAATCCAGACGCTGGTAAACAAGCAGCTGAAGCCGGACGGACAGAAGCAAAGAGTCGCCGCAGGTATTCTCACACACACACACACACACACACTTATTAACACGATTATTATGCTCTTATTAATGTCATATTTCTGCTGATTAGACGTGCTGTGAATAGCGTGAGTGGTTATGCTAGTCCTCTGGGTGACTCTTCATAGGTTAGAGGTCAAACTGAGTGTTGCTGAGTCACATTCTCCACACACACACACACACACACACACACACACACACACACACACACACACACACACACACACACACACATCAACACTTCAGACTCCTGCCGCACAACAGATGACCTGAGAATGTATTAAGTTATGAAAATGTTATTTCTGAAAGTTTTCTGAACATTCAAAACATCCAGTTTTTTTTTTTTTTTTTTTAATTAAAAAAATTCTTGGTTATAGAGAAACATTGTATCATTCTTCGAACATTATGGAATGTCACTTTTGAATGTTCTCTGAACATTCCGAAACAAGTATTTAAAAAACATGTGTATATATATCATATAATTGACTCAGTCTGCCATAATTTCAATTTGTCTTATAAATATAACTCATAATTTCATCTTTTTGTCAGAATCTTTATCTAAAATGTCATAATTATGACTGTTTAAATCACGATTTTTGCTTTTCAAAACATTTCAGAAAAAATGTTCCATGAATGATGTATAAATAATGTTTTTATGCTAACGCTTTGAGAACATTATTAAAGAGCAGATAACTGTAAAAGAATGTTTTATTAATGTTACTGGAATAATGTTTGATCATAACTTTGAGGATCTTGCCAGACGTTCCTGTTCGCTGGGAAAGCTTTACATTAACTCCATTATCATCAAACCACTGAATAAAGCTGTGTGTGTGTGTGTGTGTGGTGTGTGTGTGTGTGTGTGTGTGTGTGTGTGTGTGTGTGTGTGTGTGTGTGTGTGTGTGTGTGTGTATTTCTATCAGCTGCTGTATGCGTGTGTGTGTGTGTGTGTGTGTGTGTGTGTGAGTGAGTGAGTGAGTGCGCGTGTGTGTGTGAGTGTGTGTGTGTGTCTATCAGCTGCTGTATGTGAGGATGTCGCCGCACTGGTTTAGTCACATATGTGTGTGTGTTTTGTTTCTCATGGTGTGTGTGTTGTTCAGCATCATGAAGGCCGAGCGGACCGGCGTGGACATTCCCGTGTACGACCTCTCGCTGATCCGAGACCTGTGGGAGGGACGAGTGAAGAAGCAGAAGCAGCGGCAGAAGAAGGAGGAGGAGCGCATCAGTCAAAGTGCTCTAGCCAAGTGAGGATCATTCCCTCCAGATCCAAACACTAATACACACACACACACACACACACACACACACACACACACACACACACACACACACACACACACACAAACACACAGACACACACTCTCTCTCCTCTGTTCAATGTTTGTTTAAAACACGAGATTTAGCGGCTCAATGTCAATATCTCTGTTAGCATCTGCTTGAGTCCATCTGTATATTTTACTGATTTATTTTAAAGGGGCGGTTGATTATGATTTCACTTTTCTAGCTGTGTGTAATGTTGCTGATTGAGCATAAACAACATCTGCAAAGTTACAACGCTCAAAGTTCAAAGCAAAGGGAGATTTTCTTTTACAGAAATCGTTTTTTTAAGGACTACAACACACGGCTGGTAGAACTACACGAGCTTCCTCCCGGGTTAGTGACATCACCAACCCTAGAATTAACATAAGCCCCGCCCCCCGGAACACAAGCAGTGTTGAGAAGAGGAAGAGTTGTTGTAGTCCCGGCACAGAGGGCGGAGCTTCAAGAGCTCGAGCTTCAGACTCACATGTGCTCCTGAAGCTCGAGCTCTTGTAGCTCCGCCCTCTGTGCCGGGAGCGGCAGCTCATTTGCATTTAAAGGGACACACACAAAACGACGCGTTTTTGCTCACCCTCAAAAAGGGACAATTTTAACAAGCTATAAAAATTATCCGTGGGGTATCTTTAGCTAAAACTTCACACACACACTCTGGAGACATCAGAGACTTATTCTATATCTTGTAAAAAAGGGCATTATACCAGCCCTTTAAAAAGCGAACTGATATGAAGCCGGTGTGTGTTTGCAGGGTGAATCAGCAGTGGCAGTATCGCATCGCGTGCCGGAAGCTGAAGAGCGCTGAGGTCTTGGCCCTGCAGTGTTACCTGGACCGGTCATGTGATCAACTACACACTCTACACACACTACACAACGGTATGCACAACTACACACTCTACACACACTACACAACGGTATGCAGTGTTACCTGGTCCGGTCATGTGATCAACTACACACTCTACACACACTACACAATGGTATGCAGTGTTACCTGGACCGGTCATGTGATCAACTACACACTCTACACACACTACACAACGGTATGCACAACTACACACTCTACACACACTACACAACGGTATGCACAACTACACACTCTACACACACTACACAACGGTATGCACAACTACACACTCTACACACACTACACAACGGTATGCAGTGTTACCTGGACCGGTCATGTGATCAACTACACACTCTACACACACTACACAACGGTATGCAGTGTTACCTGGACCGGTCATGTGATCAACTACACACTCTACACACACTACACAACGGTATGCACAACTACACACTCTACACAACGGTATGCAGTGTTACCTGGACCGGTCATGTGATCAACTACACACTCTACACACACTACACAACGGTATGCAGTGTTACCTGGACCGGTCATGTGATCAACTACACACTCTACACACACTACACAACGGTATGCAGTGTTACCTGGACCGGTCATGTGATCAACTACACACTCTACACACACTACACAACGGTATGCAGTGTTACCTGGACCGGTCATGTGATCAACTACACACTCTACACACACTACACAACGGTATGCACAACTACACACTCTACACACACTACACAACGGTATGCAGTGTTACCTGGACCGGTCATGTGATCAACTACACACTCTACACACACTACACAACGGTATGCACAACTACACACTCTACACACACTACACTACGGTATGCACAACTACACACTCTACACACACTACACAACGGTATGCAGTGTTACCTGGACCGGTCATGTGATCAACTACACACTCTACACACACTACACAACGGTATGCACAACTACACACTCTACACACACTACACAACGGTATGCAGTGTTACCTGGTCCGGTCATGTGATCAACTACACACTCTACACACACTACACAACGGTATGCACAACTACACACTCTACACACACTACACAACGGTATGCAGTGTTACCTGGACCGGTCATGTGATCAACTACACACTCTACACACACTACACAACGGTATGCACAACTACACACTCTACACACACTACACAACGGTATGCAGTGTTACCTGGTCCGGTCATGTGATCAACTACACACTCTACACACACTACACAATGGTATGCAGTGTTACCTGGACCGGTCATGTGATCAACTACACACTCTACACACACTACACAACGGTATGCACAACTACACACTCTACACACACTACACAACGGTATGCAGTGTTACCTGGACCGGTCATGTGATCAACTACACACTCTACACACACTACACAACGGTATGCAGTGTTACCTGGACCGGTCATGTGATCAACTACACACTCTACACAACGGTATGCACAACTACACACTCTACACACACTACACAACGGTATGCACAACTACACACTCTATACACACTACACAACGGTATGCACAACTACACACACTACACAACGGTATGCACAACTACACACTCTACACACACTACACAACGGTATGCACAACTACACACTCTACACAACGGTATGCACAACTACACACTCTACACACTCTACACAACGGTATGCACAACTACACACTCTACACACACTACACAACGGTATGCAGTGTTACCTGGACCGGTCATGTGATCAACTACACACTCTACACACACTACACAACGGTCATGTGATCAACTACACACTCTACACACTCTACACAACGGTATGCACAACTACACACTCTATACACACTACACAACGGTATGCACAACTACACACACTACACAACGGTATGCACAACTACACACTCTACACACACTACACAACGGTATGCACAACTACACACTCTACACAACGGTATGCACAACTACACACTCTACACACTCTACACAACGGTATGCACAACTACACACTCTACACACACTACACAACGGTATGCAGTGTTACCTGGACCGGTCATGTGATCAACTACACACTCTACACACACTACACAACGGTCATGTGATCAACTACACACTCTACACACTCTACACAACGGTATGCACAACTACACACTCTACACACACTACACAACGGTATGCAGTGTTACCTGGACCGGTCATGTGATCAACTACACACTCTACACACACTACACAACGGTATGCACAACTACACACTCTACACACACTACACAATGGTATGCAGTGTTACCTGGACCGGTCATGTGATCAACTACACACTCTACACACACTACACAACGGTTTTGACGTTCCCTTTAAGTTATGAAATCATTATTTCTGAATGTTCTCAGAAAGTTTTTGTAAATGTTTAAAAAACTTTTTTCTTTTTATGTGAATATTAGAGAATAGATTTTCTGTATCATTCTTCAAACATTATGGTAGTAACACGTCATAGTAGTAACATTTAAAAAACGTTAGACGAACATCCAACTAAATACTTTTAGTACTTTTACACTTCATGAAATGGATATTCAAATACATTCTTCAATAATTCTAGCCTACATATAGTTGATGGTTTAGAATAAGTGATATCCTTGTTTTTTATCAGTGTGTTTAATTTTAATTTGTCCAAACCAGGGTTATTTTAGTATCATTGAGATACTATATGTTTTATTAATATTTTGAATCATTTTCATTTTAGTTAAAGTAGTAGTCATTTTGTTGTGTGTTTTTTTTTTAGCATTTATTTAATAAAATATCTTTAAATATGTGTATATACAGTCAAACCAAAACTTATTCAGACACCAGATATGATTTTTGATATTGCTCCACTAGTGTGATCAGGACACTATAGTTCATTTCTGTAAGTGAGGAGAGCAGAATAAAGTAAACTGACATATTATACCCAAATATTCTTCATCCAGTGACTACCAGTAACAATGATTCCTCCACTTTGAGCTGATCATGTTTTGCTGAAGTGTGTTTTCTGTAATTGCTAATGCTCTTTTTACACACAGACTGAACAACATGAAGCATTGCTTGGTCACTGGTTGAGCTAAACTGGTATTATCTAATTGTGTAGTTATATTTAACAGCTGACAGATATTCAACATAATTCATCTGTGAGAGTCTAACAGAAGGACGGACAAAACCAGTCAAATATCCACTGAGTTCTGCTCAGATTTCATTACCAACTATAGCGAATAAACTGATGATGTGAGAAATGTTGAAGGAGTCTGAATATATTCCGGTTTGACTGTATATGTTTCAGTTAGTTAACTAGTATAATAACCCTGACCTCTGACCTTCTGCCTCCTCCAGACACTGACACGGAGAACAAGAAGTTCATTTTTGAGCTCAATGGAGACAAATGGATGGTAACTCTCTGAAAACGCTTTGTATTTCAAACGCTTTGACTCTCCGTGACTTCACTATGATCGCGATTTGCAGAAATTACCTGAAGATCTCCAGTTTATGACGTACCTGAGGGAATGGCACATCCACGCAACGAAGATTCGCGAGATTCCCTCGTACATCGAGGCGTTCGTGGATCTGCGTGTTCTGGACGTTCCCAAGAACGGACTGACGAGGATTCCTGTGGAAATCGGTACGTGTCGCTAAACCTCAGATCTCACTCCGAATTAAACACGCAGTATTATTCCACACGGTAGAAATCACACAAACGTCTCGTCTTTCACAGGAAAACTGATCAGCCTGAGGGAATTAAATGTGAATTATAATAAACTGATGAGCATTCCAGCTGAACTCGGAGAATGCGAGAATCTAGAACGACTAGAGATGACGGCGAACAGAAGCCTGTCTGAGCTTCCCTTCGAGGTACAATAATCATTCATATAGATTCATTACAGATATTTTTGTCTATCCCAGGCAGCTAACCCTTCTGTTAAAGATCCTCTTCACAAGATGTAAAATAAGTCTCTGATGTCCCCAGAGTGTGTGTGTGTGTGTGTGAAGATTGAGCTCAAAATACCTCACAGATATTTTTATATAGCATGTTAAAGTTGTCACTTTTCGAGGGTGAGCAAAAACGCATAGTTTTTGTGTCTGTCCCTTTAAATGCAAATGAGCCGCTGCACAGAGGGCGGAGCTACAAGAGCTCGGACAGGCACTGAAAATGTAAAAAACTTTTAGCCTTTTATGTTCAAACCGGAGTCGGACAAAGATGGAGAGACTCAAGGAGAAGTGACGACATGTAGAGCAACAGGACATTTCTGAATGTTAGTTGATGAATTTATGTAGTTTGTTAGTCATTGATTAGCATATTCTGTCATGATAATCTATAAATCTCGTTCCCAGGGGCGGGGTTTATGTGAATTCTAGGGTTTGTGATGTCACTAACCCGGGAAGAAGCTCGTGTAGTTCTACCAGCCGTGTGTTGTAGTCCTTAAAAAGCGATTTCTTTAAAAGAAAATATCTTCCTTTTCTTTTAAACTTTGAGCGTTGTAACTTTGCAGATGTTGTTTATCCTCTAACAGCAACATTACACACTAACTACAGTTAAAAAAGTGAATTCATAATCAACCACCCCTTTAAGGTTCTCAAAGTTATGAACAAACGTTCTTCCAGTAACGTTAATAAAACATTCGTTCAAAGTTCTCTGGTCTTTAATAATGTTCTCAAAACATCAGCACAAAAACATTATTTTATACATCGTTCATTTTTAAATGTTGCTTCTTGTTTCAGAGAACATTCAAAAGTATTGTCCCATGATGATTGAATGTAACGTTCCTTTAACTTTAACGTTCGCATAACCGAGGAAAAACAGTTTAAAACGTTTAAAAAACTGATGTTTTGAAATAACGCTTTCATAACTCAATGGGAATGTTTTTGTCGGCTGGGAAATGCTCCTTCTTTCAGCTGCGGAATCTGAAGAAACTGAAGCACTTGGATGTGTCGGAGAACCAGTTTCCCAGCATCCCGATCTGTGTTCTGCGCATGGAGAACCTGAAGTGTTTAGACATCAGCAACAACAGACTCACTGACCTGCCGGAGGACATCGACCGGTGTGTGTGTGTGTGTGTGTGCGTGTGTGTGATGGGGAGGTTTAGGGTGTGTGTGTTTGTGTGATGGGTAGGTTTAGGGTGTGTGTGTGTGTGTGTGATGGGTAGGGTTTGTGTGTGTGTGTGTGTGATGGGTAGGGTTTGTGTGTGTGTGTGATGGGTAGGGTTTGTGTGTGTGTGTGTGTGTGTGTGTGATGGGTAGGGTTTTTGTGTGTGTGTGTGATGGGTAGGGTTTGTGTGTGTATGTGTGTGTGTGATGGGTAGGGAGGGTTTGTGTGTGTGTGTGTGTGTGTGTGTGATGGGTAGGTTTAGGGGTAGGGTGTGTGTGTGTGTGATGGGTAGGGTTTGTGTGTGTGTGATGGGTAGGGAGGGTTTGTGTGTGTGTGTGTGTGTGTGTGTGTGATGGGTAGGTTTAGGGGTAGGGTTTGTGTGTGTGTGATGGGTAGGTTTAGGGGTAGGGTTTGTGTGTGTGTGATGGGTAGGGTTTGTGTGTGTGTGTGTGATGGGTAGGGAGGGTTTGTGTGTGTGTGTGTGTGTGTGTGTGTGATGGGTAGGTTTAGGGGTAGGGTTTGTGTGTGTGTGTGATGGGTAGGGTTTGTGTGTGTGTGTGTGTGATGGGTAGGGTTTGTGTGTGTGTGATGGGTAGGGAGGGTTTGTGTGTGTGTGTGATGGGTAGGTTTAGGGGTATGGTTTGTGTGTGTGTGTGATGGGTAGGGTTTGTGTGTGTGTGTGTGTGTGATGGGTAGGGAGGGTTTGTGTGTGTGTGTGATGGGTTAGGGGTAGGGTTTGTGTGTGTGTGTGTGTGATGGGTAGGGTTTGTGTGTGTGTGTGTGTGTGTGTGTGTGTGATGGGTAGGGTTTGTGTGTGTGTGTGTGATGGGTAGGTTTAGGGGTAGGGTGTGTGTGTGTGTGATGGGTAGGGTTTGTGTGTGTGTGTGTGTGATGGGTAGGGAGGGTTTGTGTGTGTGTGTGTGTGTGATGGGTAGGTTTAGGGGTAGGGTTTGTGTGTGTGTGATGGGTAGGGTTTGTGTGTGTGTGTGTGTGTGTGTGATGGGTAGGGTTTGTGTGTGTGTGATGGGTAGGGAGGGTTTGTGTGTGTGTGTGTGATGGGTAGGTTTAGGGGTATGGTTTGTGTGTGTGTGTGATGGGTAGGGTTTGTGTGTGTGTGTGTGATGGGTAGGGAGGGTTTGTGTGTGTGTGTGATGGGTTAGGGGTAGGGTTTGTGTGTGTGTGTGTGATGGGTAGGGTTTGTGTGTGTGTGTGTGTGTGTGTGATGGGTAGGGTTTCTGTGTGTGTGTGTGTGATGGGTAGGTTTAGGGGTAGGGTGTGTGTGTGTGTGATGGGTAGGGTTTGTGTGTGTGTGTGTGATGGGTAGGGAGGGTTTGTGTGTGTGTGTGTGTGATGGGTAGGTTTAGAGGTAGGGTTTGTGTGTGTGTGTGTGTGATGGGTAGGGTTTGTGTGTGTGTGTGTGTGTGTGTGTGTGATGGGTAGGGTTTGTGTGTGTGTGTGTGTGATGGGTAGGGAGGGTTTGTGTGTGTGTGTGATGGGTAGGGTTTGTGTGTGTGTGTGTGTGATGGGTTAGGGGTAGGGTTTGTGTGTTTGTGTGTGTGTGTGTGATGGGTAGGGTTTGCGTGTGTGTGTGTGTGTGTGTGTGTGTGTGTGTGTGTGTGTGTATGTGTGTATGTGTGTGTGATGGGTAGGTTTAGGGGTAGGGTGTGTGTGTGTGTGTGATGGGTAGGGTTTGTGTGTGTGTGTGTGATGGTAGGGAGGGTTTGTGTGTGTGTGTGTGATGGGTAGGTTTAGGGGTAGGGTTTGTGTGTGTGTGTGTGTGTGTGATGGGTAGGGTTTGTGTGTGTGTGTGTGTGTGTGTGTGTGTGATGGGTAGGGTTTGTGTGTGTGTGTGTGATGGGTAGGGAGGGTTTGTGTGTGTGTGTGTGATGGGTAGGTTAAGGGGTAGGGTTTGTGTGTATGTGTGTGTGATGGGTAGGTTTAGGGGTAGGGTGTGTGTGTGATGGGTAGGTTTAGGGGTAGGGTTTGTGTGTGTGTGTGTGTGTGTGATGGGTAGGTTTAGGGGTCGGGTTAGTGTGTGTGTGTGTGTGTGTGTGTGTGTGTGTGTTTGATGGGTAGGTTTAGGGGTCGGGTTAGTGTGTGTGTGTGTGTGTGTGTGTGTGTGTGTGTGTGTGTGTGTGTGTTTGATGGGTAGGTTTAGGGGTCGGGTTAGTGTGTGTGTGTGTGTGTGTGTGTGTGTGTGTGTGTGAGAGAGCGAGTTTCTGTTGATAATCCTGAACACACACACACACACACACACACACATCATGAGACAATGATTCTCTCCTCAGGCTCGAGGCGTTAGAGACGCTGTTCCTCCACAGGAACCGAGTGCGCCGCGTCCCGATGCCGATGACGAACCTCGTTCACCTGAAGATGCTGGTCATCAGCGCCGACGAGCTCTACAGCATCCCGTCGAAGATCGTCGACAGTCCCGACATCAAGTGTGTGTGTGTGTGTGTGTGTGTCAGCAGAAATACCCCTCACAGACCCTGTCCTCGTGTGATTCTGAGAGATCGAGTGTTGATCCAAACACAGTCGGCCCGATCCTGATCTTTCTGTTACAGATTAATCCGACTTTACGACAACCCGATCAGCGCTCCGGCTGCAGACGCGCACGAGCCGGACGCAGAAGCCCAGGATCAACACGAGAAGGAGTTCATGAAAACATACATCGAGTCTCTTCAGGACAGAGGTGATGTCATACATGTACAAGCCATTTACCTCATCCTCCCTCTTGATAATATTTTTAATGCAATTTTTTACCTTTAAATTACTAGATTTGATCAATAAATAGTAATTTAAGCACATTCCTCACATTCTTTCAACTTACATTCAAAATAACTCTCAGTTTTATGCATAACCCTTTAATTCAGCTCTAAATATCTGATACTGTGTGTCTTTGCCGACCGCTTGTGTTAAACAATTAATATAAGATGATATTTCATGACTTTAGATGGGCTTATATCTTTATATGGAGCAAATGAGCTGTTCCTCTGGGTCCTAAAGCCAGTTTCTCTTCAGTGTGCATTCAAAAACACATGTAGACAGTAATTTTTTGGTAAAGTTTCAGCATTTTTAGTTTGAATTTTGAGCATTTTTAGGGTTTTCTATGTGAAGAGAAGGGAAGCATTTGTTACTTTTTTTTTTTTATTTAAACCACAAAACTCCTCGAATTCATCACTTTTTTGTGTGTGTGTGTGTATTCATGGTTCAAGTGGGACAAAAGTCCTGGGGTCTTGGACTCCTCTCATGAATAAATATTTTCCAGCTCCAAAAGACCAGAGGGAAGGATGACGTAAAATATGTGTTTAAAAATAATACATTTGCAGATATTGAGCTTTAAATGTTCCTCAAACGACTCTTTTCAGACACTCAACCGATGTACACCACTAAAGTGTCCTTCAGCTGCTTGCTGTAGAAGATGAAGAACACACACCATCATCTTCATCATCATCCAGCCATCAGTGTGATCCGGTTATTAGTTTTCTCATTCCGAGTGCAATCCACATTTAAATGCAGGTTATGCTGTCGATAAGTTTTAGCATCTAAAAGGTTTGGATTTCTTTTGTAGCAGCACTTTTCTATTTTTTTGTTTTATTTGTTTTCCAAATATCTAAACATTCTTAAATCAAGATATATTTACTGGAGAAGCAACATTACTGAAGATATTAAGTCTTGTTTAATGAAAAATATATGAAAATGAAGTGAGTTTGTGTTTAAAAAAAGAACAAATATCTGCCAAATGAGTCGTAGAAAAGGGTATATAAGATTATTTTCTAGTTTTAAGCACAAACTCACTTCATTTTGATTCTTTTTTCAGACTTAATATCTTATACGGAAGCGTATTGCATTCACTTGAGGAAAAAAATCTACTCTGTTTTTCTGAATTAACGAGTTAATATCTCAGAATTACGAGATAAAAAAAGTTATCTCGTAATTCTGAGATATTAACTCGTTAATTCAGAAAAACAGAGCAAAAATTTTTCATGAAAAAAAAAGTGTTCATGAAAAATTTTTGCTCTGTTTTTCTGAATTAACGAATTAATATCTCAGAATTATGAGATTCATTTTTCTTGAAAAACAGTTTTTTCACTCTGTTTTTATGAATTAATGAGTTACTCATAATTTTGAGATAATTAAGTCATTAATTCAGAAAAACAGAGCAAAAACTTTTTTCCATGAAAAATTATCTCGTAATTCTGAGATAATTAACTCATTAATTCAGAAAAACAGAGCAAAAAAAAAATTCTATAAAAATGATCTGGTAATTCTGTACGGAAGCGTATTGCATTCACTTGAAGAAAAAAAAATCTACTCTGTTTTTCTGAATTAACGACTTAATTATCTCAGAATTACAAGATCATTTTTATAGAATTTTTTTTTTGCTCTGTTTTTCTGAATTAATGAGTTAATTATCTCAGAATTACGAGATAATTTTTCATGGAAAAAAGTTTTTGCTCTGCTTTTCTGAATTTCTGAGTTTTTGAGATAATCAAGTCATTAATTCAGAAAAACAGAGCAAAACAATTTTTTCCTGAAAAATTATCTTGTAATTCTGAGATAATTAACTCGTTAATTCAGAAAAACAGAGCAAAAAAACATTTTCCTGAAAAATTATCTTGTAATTCTGAGATATTAACTCATTAATTCAGAAAAACAGAGTAGATTTTTTCCTCAAGTGAATGCAAAACGCTTCCGTATCTTCTGTCTCTTGATGTAAGAATGTTTGGATATTTGTGCTGGAAACGAGGTGTGTAACACTGACAGCCGGACGGGTGGAAGTTCACGTTTTTATTTCTGACCGCATTTATGATTCTTGCTATAGTTAAAATGCTGATGCCAAACCCACTGTGATCTGGTTTTCGGTGAAGATCTTCATTAAGTTTGTTTTGATGTGACCAAATGTTTAACAGCATGATTATGATCCTGTTTGATTGAACTCAATGTTTTATAATAAAAGAAGTGCCATTTTTATGTATTGCAATTAAAACTTTTTCATCTATTTTGCCTTCTGCCATAAATATAACATGCAAAACATGATGTTCTTCCTCAGTGTTTCTGTCTCGTTTTCCAGCACAAATATCCAAACATTCATAAATCAAGAGACATTTACTGGAGAAGAAGCAAAATGGAGTCAGAAAAATCTGTTTTCAGATTGAATTAAGTCGTTTTTTTCTGATTACACTCATTTTTGTTCTTGTTTTAAACACAACTCACTTTATTTTGATTCATTTTTCAGACTCAATATCTTCAGTCATTGTTCTTCTCCAGTAAATCTATCTTGATTTAATAATGTTTAGATATTTGTGCTGTGAAGAGTTTATATTAGAGGTGTCTTAACATGAGAAGAAAACGATGCTTTATATAAAAAATGCAATGCAAATAATCATAACTTAGTTAAGGTAGACTTACCAACTTTTACAAGGAAGGAATAAACATTGAATTTTTCTTCTGTTGTTGATGTCAAAGGTCGTGTGTCAATCAAACTCTATTTCTGAGTCACGCGGACGACGTCTAGTCTACATCAACACGAGCGGGGTGTGTGACACCTTAGGACAATATGAGGATTAAATATGAGGATAAAATGCTCTTGTTGTCAAGCAATGAAACCATCAAAATACAAGAGACGTTTGGAGACCAATATCAACTATTTTCAGTGTAAATTTATGTGAATAACACATTGTTTCTCTGCAAAAATTATGTTTTTCCTCAGTGTTTCTGACTCGTTTTCCAGCACAAATATCTAAATATTCTCAAATCAAGAGACATTTACTGGAGAAGCAGAAAAATGACTGAAGATATTAAGAAAATGAAGTGAGTTAAAATGAGCCAATGGAGTCAGAAAAATACACTTAATTCAAACGGATATTTGTTCTTGTTTTAAGGACATTTTTGATGATATTTTGACTCCATTGGCAGATATTTGTTCTTGTTTTAAGGACATTTTTGATGATATTTTGACTCCATTGGCAGATATTTGTTCTTGTTTTAAGCACTAACTCACTTCATTTTGTCTTAATATCTTCAGTCATTGTTCTTCTCCAGTAAATGTCTCTTGATTTAATAATGTTTAGATATTTGTGCTGGAAAACGGGACAGAAACACTGAGAGAAAGAACATTGTTTTTTGAAGAGCTGTCAACTGAGAAAAACCACACAAATCAATCCTGGAATATGAAGTGGTTTATTGAAACATTGATTAACGAACAGCTTGTAACAAACGTCTGGTTGCAGTGATCCGCAAACGAATGCTTAATGTGCGCTGACCGAGAGCATCACTGAGTCTGCATAGACATGGAGCCGAAACATCAGTAAAAAACAAAGTGCATTTCATTGAAAAACATCTAAAATGACTTGAGTGGAGCTACGAGCTTCTCCATCACATAAATACGGTCAACACTTCATTTTCAAGTATGCATAATCATAATCAGGTCCCCAAGATTGGCGATTAAAGGTTTGCTGTTCTCTGTGCTGCTGAAACACACACACACACACACACTCAGTCCTGCTTGATCGTCGTGGAGTTAGGTGTGTGTTCATGCTGTTATTGCTGCAGTTTATAAATCATATAATGAATCACTCAGATCATCTTAAGCTAACGACGTAATGAAACTGAAAATCGTCTTACTGTGCGTTAACATACGATAAAAACAACAACAATTTGATTAAATATTCACATAAAAGTCAATTCTGTTAGGAAGCAATGATAAATCAGTAAAGCGGTTTTAAAACTGTGATTATTTGAAATGATATAAAGACATTGATGGATTAAATCACACTGCAAAAAATGCTTTTCTTACTTAGTATTTGTGTCTTGTTTCCAGTCGAAATATCTAAAAAAATTCTTAAATCAAGATGCATTTACTAGATGAGTAAAATGAGATAAGATATTATGTCCTGTTTTCTGGGGGAATTAATCAAAATTAAGTGAGTTTTTGCTTAAAACAAGCTAAATTATCTGCCAATGGGGTCAGAAAAATAATGTTAACTCAAACAGAAACAAGATTATTTTTCTGACCCGATTGGGAGATAATTTAGCTTGTTTTAAGCAAAAACTCACTTAATTTTGATTTATTTCGCCAGAAAACAAGACTTAATATCGTATGGCATTTCACTACTTTAGTAAATGTGTCTTGATTTAAGAAAAGTTTGATATTCGGCCTGGAAACGAGAGTAAGGACAGCCTGTTCAGTTGTGAGGTAGCAGCTTGTGTCGAGTCATTATGAGTTTAGATCCGATTTACTTTTTAATAATTCATCTATCAAAGCTGCGTCAGACTTTAAGGCAATGATTATGTCTGTTTTGTGCCATTTATTAACTTCTGATAAAAAAACACTGTACGTGAATCCTTGCAAAACATGACGTTTTCCTCTTGTTTTCCAGCACGAATATTCATAAATCTGTAGATTTACTGGAAAAGCAACATAACTGAAGATATTAAGACTGAAAAATGTATTAAATGAAGTGAGTTTGTGCTTAAAACAAGAACAAATACCTGCCAGAATAATCTTAACTCAAAATGAAACGTTTATTTTTCTGACTCCGTCGGCAGATATTTTGTCCTGTTTTAACCATTAATTTTTATGCACTTTTCATTAAATAAGACATTATTCTTCTTCTCCGGTAAATGTCTCTTGATTTAAGAATGTTTGGATATTTGTGCTGGAAACCGAGACTTGAATGAATGTCATGTTTTGCAGTGTTTTTAAAACTGTACAAGTTTAGCGCAGAGGTTAAAGTTCGTCAGTAATATATTACAGGACATCGGCGGACTACATTTACATTCAGATACACGGCAGCACATGAACTATACGCCAAAATATGAAGAAGGCACATTCTCTTTTAAAGATTCAAAACCAGAAGGATAAAAAATAAGATTGTAATCTTTAGAATAAGGTTTCATTTGTTAGCATTAGCTTACGACATTAGTTAGCAAGAACTAACAATGAAAAAGACTTCTACAGCATTTATAAATCTTAGTTCATGTTAAATTCAACATGATACATTAACAATCAAAAGTTAACATTAGTTAATGTAAAATTCAACATATTTATAATTTAAAATAAAAACATTACATTAGTTCTTGCACTGTGGACTATTATAAACAAACAATGACCGATATACAGGAGTCAACATTTGAAGTGGATCAAAACCTTTCATCAAAGTTACACATGAATTGTGAACGATACCTGTCGTAGGACAACTTTGATAAACTTTTTTAATCCACTTCAAATGTTGACTATTTTATTTTTATTAACTAACATTGATCAAGATTAATAAATGCTGCAGTTAGTTATAGGGATAGTTCACACAAAAATGAAAATTAGCCCATGATTTACTCGCCCTGAAGCCGTCCTAGGAGTATAGATGCACTTTTATGATGGACAGATGCACTTTTATGATGGATAGATGCACTTTTATGATGGACAGATGCACTTTTATGATGGACAGATGCACTTTTATGATGGATAGATGCACTTTTATGATGGATAGATGCCCTTTTATGATGGATAGATGCACTTTTATGATGGATAGATGCACTTTTATGATGGACAGATGCACTTTTATGATGGATAGATGCACTTTTATGATGGATAGATGCACTTTTATGATGGACAGATGCACTTTTATCATGGATAGATGTACTTTTATGATGGACAGATGCACTTTTATGATGGATAGATGCACTTTTATGATGGACAGATGCACTTTTATGATGGATAGATGCACTTTTATGATGGACAGATGCACTTTTATGATGGATAGATGCACTTTTATGATGGATAGATGCACTTTTATGATGGACAGATGCACTTTTATGATGGACAGATGCACTTTTATGATGGATAGATGCACTTTTATGATGGACAGATGCACTTTTATGATGGATAGATGCACTTTTATGATGGATAGATGCACTTTTATGATGGACAGATGCACTTTTATCATGGATAGATGTACTTTTATGATGGATAGATGCACTTTTATGATGGACAGATGCACTTTTATGATGGACAGATGCACTTTTATGATGGACAGATGCACTTTTATGATGGACAGATGCACTTTTATGATGGATAGATGCACTTTTATGATGGACAGATGCACTTTTATCATGGATAGATGCACTTTTATGATGGATAGATGCACTTTTATGATGGACAGATGCACTTTTATGATGGATAGATGCACTTTTATGATGGATAGATGCACTTTTATGATGGACAGATGCACTTTTATCATGGATAGATGTACTTTTATGATGGATAGATGCACTTTTATGATGGATAGATGCACTTTTATGATGGACAGATGCACTTTTATGATGGACAGATGCACTTTTATGATGGATAGATGCACTTTTATGATGGATAGATGCCCTTTTATGATGGATAGATGCACTTTTATGATGGATAGATGCACTTTTATGATGGACAGATGCACTTTTATGATGGATAGATGCACTTTTATGATGGATAGATGCACTTTTATGATGGACAGATGCACTTTTATCATGGATAGATGTACTTTTATGATGGACAGATGCACTTTTATGATGGATAGATGCACTTTTATGATGGACAGATGCACTTTTATGATGGATAGATGCACTTTTATGATGGACAGATGCACTTTTATGATGGATAGATGCACTTTTATGATGGATAGATGCACTTTTATGATGGACAGATGCACTTTTATCATGGATAGATGCACTTTTATGATGGATAGATGCACTTTTATGATGGACAGATGCACTTTTATGATGGATAGATGCACTTTTATGATGGATAGATGCACTTTTATGATGGACAGATGCACTTTTATCATGGATAGATGTACTTTTATGATGGATAGATGCACTTTTATGATGGATAGATGCACTTTTATGATGGACAGATGCACTTTTATGATGGATAGATGCACTTTTATGATGGACAGATGCACTTTTATGATGGATAGATGCACTTTTATGATGGACAGATGCGCTTTTATGATGGATAGATGCACTTTTATGATGGACAGATGCGCTTTTATGATGGATAGATGCACTTTTATGATGGACAGATGCGCTTTTATGATGGATAGATGCACTTTTATGATGGATAGATGCACTTTTATGATGGACAGATGCACTTTTATGATGGATAGATGCACTTTTATGATGGACAGATGCACTTTTATGATGGATAGATGCACTTTTATGATGGACAGATGCGCTTTTATGATGGATAGATGCACTTTTATCATGAATAGATGCACTTTTATCATGAATAGATGCACTTTTATGATGGACAGATGCACTTTATGATGCACTTTTATGATGGACAGATGCACTTTTATGATGGATAGATGCACTTTTATGATGGATAGATGCACTTTTATGATGGACAGATGCACTTTTATGATGGATAGATGCACTTTTATGATGGATAGAAGCACTTTTATGATGGACAGATGCACTTTTATGATGGATAGATGCACTTTTATGATGGACAGATGCGCTTTTATGATGGATAGATGCACTTTTATGATGGACAGATGCGCTTTTATGATGGATAGATGCACTTTTATCATGAATAGATGCACTTTTATCATGAATAGATGCACTTTTATCATGTATATAGATGCACTTTTATGATGGATAGATGCACTTTTATGATAGATAGATGCACTTTTATGATGGATAGACGCACTTTTATGATGGATAGACGCACTTTTATGATGGACAGATGCACTTTTATGATGGATAGATGCACTTTTATGCACTTTTATGCACACCTAGGATGGCTTCTGGGTGAGTAAATCCTGGGCTAATTAGAATTTTTGGGTGAACTATCCCTTTAATGTTAGCTAATGCAATGTTATCAAATAAGACCTTGTTATAAAGTGTCACCAAAAAGACGTTTAGACATCTCATACAAAGCTTTTTCAGACACACTCCTGGAATGGAAACCTTGTAGGGGTTCAGTGGTCTATAAGCTACTGTCCTGTAGAAGAGGCTCGTTGTCCTCGTCGCTCACAGGAACGGAGCCGTTCTCGGGGCCACCGCTCACCGGCTCCGTCATGATCCTCGTGCTGCACGTCTTCACGACCAGAGTGTGTTGAGCCGGGATGAAGACCGCCACCAGAAGCGCCAGCACAACCGTACAAGCGCCGAACAGGAACGGAGGACCAGGAATAACGGACTTCTGAAACACAAAACATCAAATTCTGTATTAGGAATTTTCAAGGCCAGACAAGTAATTAGGTGAGGTCAATATGTAGAGTAAGACTACACGCCTGCACACATGCATATTCAAACACTCTCATCTATAGACTAAACACGTAATACGGATGTGCACGGCGTCAGCGTTTTCACAGATTCGTGTTTTTGAAGTTTACACAGAGATGATCACGCTTTTCACAATTATTCAACGCTTGCACCTTTGAACCTGTTTCAAGGTTTGCGCTCTTGAGCACCAAACCCTGACGTGTGTGAATGAATGGCCGGAGCGCATTAAAGGCACAATATGTAGGTTTTTTTCGCCACAAGAGGGCGCAGTTTCCAACAATAACACAGGCGTAGGTTGATGACGCAGTGATGAGCTGAATGATGGGACTTGCTGTCAAGCTGATGGATCTAATAATGTTTATGGATGAGTGCAAACAATCTCCAGTAATTTTTTAACATTACAGTGGTATGAAGCAGATCGCGATTGCTAAAGAGACAGATATCACACGCGAGTCCCGCGGATATAGAAGAATAAGGACATTTAATTCTACCGAACGCAAGTGCTGGATTACTCACACAGGTCAGTTTATCATACGAATTAAACTTGTGAGGTAACGCAGCGCTGCTTCACTTGGTCTAACGTTACACTATCACACTAAACGGCATTTAAATGTGTGTTGAAAGTTATAATGGTATACTACGTGTTAGTTCGTTTGCTATGCGAAACTAGCAGTAAGCTAGCTCAACATTAGAATAACATACTGACCATATTCTAACATTTCATCATGTTGAGCTAACGTTATATAACATTGATTTGTTTTATGTACATTTGCTCACCTGTCTAATAAAGCTGTCGTGACTCGTGAAGCTCTGTCGAGTCAGAGTTAGCCGCGGACGCTAGCTCTCGGCATTTCATAAACGCCACGCTGATGTTGATCCTCATTTTAGTTCTCCTTGTTTGTCCCAAAGTCTGCTTGCCATGGTCTATGTTTGAAAGAAACAAGAACTGCGTGCCGCTAAACGCTACGCACTACGCAGTTGTCCACGTCTGTCGCCATGGTTACGTCATGGCTAAGGCAGTACGAGCGGAAACCGAGGATAGCGCGGATATTGCGTCATTGACAGGCAACATTTTTTTCCGTGACGGCCACTTATTTAAAATGGGAATTTCTCTGAAATAAAACATCTTTGGAGACTTTTGGGATATTGTAAGTACACAACTGCAGGAAATATATCACACTGTGCAAGTGATTTTTGGATATTTTATTACAAAATTCTTACATATTGTACCTTTAAAGGTTTTCTGTTAGAGCGGTGTCGTGTTAGCGGCCCCTAAGTTAATAACTAATGATCTTTACAACGGAAGTGAATCAATCAAAACTAACTTTATCTGAACAATAACTTTATTCTAGATCTGCTGTAAAGCCTAAACGATCTCTGTGACTGTAATCTCCTGTTATCACTGTAAAGCTGCTGTGAAACTCTATATTGTTAAAGCGCTGTATAAATGAAGCTGACTTGACAAAACACAGTAAGCTGCAGGAATATTGTACAGAAAGAATAACACTGAAAGCGTCTGAAGACTCTGACCTCTTCGGTGCCGGGTGTGACGGGGTTCGGGACGGGGCTTATCTCCTTCAGCTCCACATTGAAGAGGAAGAATATGAATCCGAAGAGAGCCGGGCCGAGTCCGTTACACAGACCTCGAATCCCTGTGATCATTCCCTGAACCGCTCCTAAAACAACACACACAAATCATTAACTCAGAGAGTCAGTGGGGAACCAGAGTTGTACCACCCTAAAATTTAATTAGCTACTTCCCGTTTGATGTGGATTGATATTTTAATCACTTCAGAATTAAAATTTCATGATAATTTACTCTCCTCCACATCATCCAAGATGTTCATGTCTTTCTTTCTTCGGTCGGAAAGAAATGAAGGTTTTTGAGGAACACACTCCAGGGTTTCTCCATATAGTGTCTTCAATGGGGTCCAACGGGTCGAAGGTCCAGATGTGAGTTTCAGTGCAGCTTCAAAGTCTCGACACGATCCAGCCGAGGAATAAGAGTCTGATCTAGACAAACCAGCGGACATTTATAACAAAATACACATTTATATACTTTTAACCACTAATGCTGGTCTTGCTCGAGCTGTGATGCGACACACGTTACGTAATCAGGGTGAAAGGTCAAGCGTGTTCCGGTTCAGAAATGTAGAGTAGAGCGAAAAACTCTCATCTCATTTTCATTTAAATGGCGTTTGACTTAGTGTTTACAAAATGAATGTGTGTAAACACTGCGTCTGTTCTTACGCCTACGTCCCGCTTGACCTTTCACCCTGATTACGTAATGTGTGTCGCATCACAGCGAGTGCAAGACCAGCATTAGTGGTTAAAAGTATATAAATGTTGTTTTTGTTATAAATGTCGGCTGGTTTGTCTAGATCAGACTCTTATTCCTCGGCTGGATCGTGTCGAGACTTTGAAGCTGCACTGAAACTCACATCTGGACCTTCGACCCGTTGGACCCCATTGAAGTCACTATATGGAGAAACCCTGGAGTGTGTTCCTCAAAAACCTTCATTTGATAGACATGAACATCTTGGATGAGGTGGAGGAGAGTAAACTTAAATTCTGAAGGGAACTACTCCTTTAATATTTTAAATCATTGTTAATGTACATCATTTCTGCACTATCGGCTGAAACACAATCTTCCGCAGCAGGGCCGTGTCGTCAGTGCTGGAACACGAGAGCCATGGACAGGCCTGTTAACGCACACGCAGTGGTTCGAGGCTTACCCTGCTGGTCGTGATCTGTGCAGTGAGAGACGAGCGCGCTCACGGCGGGAAAGGTGATACTGGACATGGCAGCGACGGTCCCGGCCGCCCACATCATCCTGAGACACACAAACACACACGCTATTTTAAACCCAGCGAGTCACAGGCCGGCAATCCCTTCACAGTAGAGCTGACCTCACGCTTTTCCATTACAAACAACGCCAGTCATTCAGATCAAAATAAACCTCATCCATAGGGCTGGGCAAAAAAATATATTTTTCGATTAATCGTTTTTTAAAATGTGGTCGAATCAAAATCGATTCTCAAAGCCCACGAATCAATTTTTTTTCCATTTTTTTAATCTATCACCCAAAGCCAGTATTAGTTTTCCTCCACTGTTCATAGGCTTGAGCCTCCATGTTACAGATAATGCTGGGAGATTTTATGTTTGTTTAATCTTCAACATATAATAACCTGATCCTGTTTGATCAAGGAGTGCGACTGTTCTGACTCGTCCAATTTACAGCATCAAAATCTTGTCTATTCATTGTATGCATTTTAAATAGAGTTTGGTTCTGTTTTAATGTTCCCAAGTGCACCTAAAATAAAAAGAGTTTAATATACAGGTTTGTAGCTCTTAATTTCTTTTTATTAATTAACCACTTGTAAACTTATTTTCACTGTTCTTTGTTATAAATGTAGGATTTGTATTAAATCTATATTCATTGAGTTGAATTGAGAATCGAACTCAAAAATCGAAATCGAATCGAATTAAGAGCTTGTGAATCGGATCGAATTGGAACATCTGACTCGATACCCAGCCCTACTCATCCATCATAGGAAAGACTCAGATTAGAGACCCGGCTCACCATGGTTCTGACCCGAAGCCGTACCAGGCCAGCTGGAGCAGCTGAAACCCCAGTCCCAGAAGCACTGTGCTTTTATTGCCAATTCTCTTCATTAGAATGCTTAAAAGTAACGTCTGCAAAAACACAATCAATATCATGAATAGGGATATGCACCGATGTATCGGCTGATTGTTTTACAGCAGATGATCAGGTCCGATTTAGGCTTTTATTCACATATGTGACCCTGGACCACAAAACCAGTCAGAGATTTATATATCACATGAAAGCTGAATAAATAAGCTTTTTTCATTGATGTGTGGTTTGATAGGATATGACAATATCTTTCAGAGATGCAACTATTGAACATCTGGAATCTGAGGGTGCAAATAAATCAAAACATTGAGAAAATCATCTTTAAAGTTGTCCATTATGTTCACGATTGTGCTTCATCCACTCACTAAAATAAATGTTTTATATATTTACGGTAGGAAATTTACTAAATATCTTCATGGAACATGATCTCTACTTAATATCCTAATGATTTTTGGCATAAAAGAAAAATTTATAATTTTGACCCATACAGTGTATACACCCGTGCGTCATGTGACCAGGTCTGTGGTCCAGGTTCACATATAAACATCGATCAGCGAACATGCGTGAAACGAGAATGAACCTCATTGTGTTCACAGTTCATTAGCTAGCAATAAAAAATACCAGAGATGAGTTTATTTACTGTTAATTATATATGCATGTTTGAATAAATTTGTCATGAAGACATCTTTACCTGTGCAATGATGGACAGGATTCCCACCATCGCAATATACGCCGCAATTGCTCCTGATGAGAAGTTAATGACCTGAAATACCAACACACAGTTTCTAATGTTCATGCTTAACGGGAAAATGAACACAAATTCATAAGGAAGGTTATGAATAATTACTTTCAAGTCATAATTAGTCTATTTCTTGTTCAACATCCTGTTCCATTTGGACAGACGCCACATTGCTAGATACTATAAACCGAAAGCGCCACGCACCTGTCCCAGGTAGAGGAAGAAGCTGGAGTACTGTCCGGCCTCCGGCAGATACGACAGGAACACTGTGACACAGATGAGCAGCACTGTGGAGTCTTTACCAACCTTCCTCAGAGACTACACACACACACACACACACACACACACACACACAGAGTTATACACTGCAGTGACGTTTCTGAGGTATATTTGACAGACTGACGAAAGATACAGAACAGAGAAGCAAATGATCGCTGAGGCCTCTTTTGAGCTTTGTGAAGATTTTTTAAAACATTTCACTCAAAAAATTGATGATATTAGAAGCTCCATTGTTCCCTCTGAACCATGTCATTTACAAGTGCCCTCTCCTATGAGTAGCCCGTCAAACTTTAAACCTGTCTCTCCAACTCAGCTAGCTGATATAATCTCTACTATGAAGTGTTCTGGTTCTAAATTAGATATTATCCCGGCTCGTCTTTTTAAGGATGTTTTTTCTACCATTAGTCATATGGTAACTGCTATCATAAACAGCTCTTTAGCCAAAGGTGTCGTTCCAGCTAGTTTTAAACATGCAATTGTGCATCCTATGTTGAAAAAAACTCAACTTGATCCAGAAATGTGCAGTAATTACCGACCGATCTCTAAACTGCCTCTTATCTCTAAGCTTTTAGAGAAAGTTGTTTTTTCACAGCTCCAGTTTTATTTGAATTCTTTTAATATTTTGGACATGTTCCAATCTGGCTTTAGGTCATTACATAGCACTGAGTCAGCTTTGTTGAGGGTAACGAATGATATCTTGCTTGCTTTAGATTCAGGCTCTTGTGTTGTGCTGGTTTTGTTAGACCTGAGCGCTACATTGATACCATCGACCACAACATTCTTCTTGAACGGCTAGAATATATAGTAGGTGTCAAGGGCACTGTATTACAATGGTTTGCTTCCTACCTCGAAAAGAGGACTTTTTCTGTAAATTTAGGAAATTGTTCCTCGTCATCTGCGCCTGTTTTATTTGGAGTGCCCCAGGGATCTATTTTGGGACCTTTCTTGTTTTCCCTTTATATGCTCCCTTTGGCCCTCATTTTTCAGAAGTATAACATTTCATATCACTGCTATGCAGATGATTCTCAGCTTTACCTTCCAGTAAGGCTTGACAACACTGCTTCATGTTATTGGAATGTGTAGATGATATTAAGAGGTGGATGACAAATAATTTTCTGCAGTTAAATAAGGATAAAACAGAGGTTTTAATTCTGGGTTGTCCGGCAGATTCCACTCCTGCTCTGAAAGCCCAGTTAGGTCCTCTCTCAAACAAAGTATGCAAACAAATCAAAAACCTTGGAGTGATCTTTGACTCTGCACTATTTTTCGACAAACAAATTAGTGCTGTTATTAGAGGAAGTTTTTTCCATTTAAAATCAATTGCAAAGTTGAAGAGTGTTCTTTCAAGCAAAGATTTAGAAGTTGCAATTCATGCATTTGTAACATCACGATTAGACTATTGCAACTCTCTTTATTCTGGTCTTCCTCAATCTACACTTTCGTGATTACAAATTGTTCAAAATGCGGCTGCAAGACTTTTGACTGGGTCTAAAAAGAGGGATCATATTTCTCCTGTTTTGAATCCCTTCACTGGCTTCCCATTAAGTTTAGAGTTGATTTTAAGATCCTTATGTTTGTCTATAAGGCGTTGTCTGGCTGTGCACCAAGGTACATTTGTGATCTTATTGTGCCATACTGTCCTGCTAGGGCACTTCGATCGTCAAATCACTTGCTTTTAAATGTGTCACGATGTCACCACAAATTAAAAGGTGATCGGGCTTTTTCTGTCGCGGGGCCTAAGCTTTGGAATGCTCTTCCTTATCATGTGAGGTCTGCTCCTTCATTGGATATTTTTAAATCTACTCTGAAAACACATTTTTATTCTTTAGCTTTTGGAAACTTGTAATTGTTTTTATAGCGTAGTTCTGCTATGCACTTTGTACAGCACTTTGGATCAATTTGTATTGTGTTAAATGTGCTTTATAAATAAAGGTTGTTGTTGTTGTTGTATCGCTGTGATTCACAGAAACATCTGGATCCAGGCGGAGAACGGTGGATTTACAGTTATTACTGTGTGTAAATATGCTGAATTATGGGGTAAAATCATACGTTGTTATATATTGTATTGACAACTCATTAATTACATATTTACCGTCGTATATTCTGCATAATTGGACGTTTTTTAATAAACACTGACAAAAACTACACAAGTTTTAGGGCTGGATGATATGATGATATATATAACATTGATATAGTAAGTGATGTCATGGATTTAGACCTATATTGTATTTATATAAAGCGTTCACAGGCTAATTTGCTTTATGTATTTCCCCGGCGTTGAAATCAGGCTCATATAAATGTGAGGAAACACGATTCCCGCTGCATGTCGATATCATGATCACTGGATCTGTGGTGAGTTGTAAGAAACACTATATCGAGTCCAAGCTTTAGTTTAAACTGATAATCGTTTGTTTTACTCGTGTTTTCTCAGTTTCCTCTATTAACTCCAGTCACTCCGCAGCGCTTCTGCCGCTCAGTGTTCCCGCGGGAAAGGGACGGCAATGCATAAACCTCTATAGGTTTGTATCTAATTTGCAGAATGTGAGCCCATTGGCTGAACAGCGTCTCTTAGCTCCGCCCTCAAACACTGTAGTGTATCTGAGACTGGGAGAGTTCGGTTCGTGTCGAGGAGACGCTGTTTTCTGAGATTGAGACGGTGAAACCCACGCCATCGTTACTGTTCGTATCACTGTGATCAAGAGCTGAGATTCAGATATGATAATGAGCGTTTGCTTTCTGACCAATCAGAGCAGAGCAGCTCTCAGAGAGGCGGGGCTTAGAGAACCTGAATCTTCGATCGAAGCGTTTCAGACACTGAGAGACAGAGATTATGAACCTCTATTACTCGCTTTTTTATTGCCAATGTGTGAACAGCTTGTGATGACACTTAAAAAATGACCTATCTGACATCCTAGGTTTCCTATAAGCCTGTAGACTGGTTTTTATGTGAAATATTAATATGTAAAAATTAGTGCTGGGCCGTTATCGGCGTTAACGTGCTGCATTAACGTGAGACTCTTATCGGGCGATAAAAAAAATATCGCCGTTAATCAAAGTTGGGTTGGGATCATAAATAGCTTTTTCGAATATCGTTATATTTTCGCGCAATTCTAATGTGTAACGTTAGTATGACGCCACGCCTACTGTCACAGATCGCGCAGTAGGGTATTTTCCTGTCAGGGACACAAGGTGTACTTTTACTTTGTTACGTTGGGCGACGTTCCTCTCGTTACTTTATTTTAATGCAATACGTTGTTAAATGAGTTTATTCCAAGCGCGCTGTGTCCTTTGTATGGGCATGAGCGATGCTCATTTACAAATGAATCACTCTTTTGAGTCGATTCTGTTCAAAGACTTCATCAAACAAGTTGTCAGATGATCTGTCTAAATCGGTTCGCGAATCAGTTGATCTGTTCAGTTCCTCGCGCACTGAATCGTCTGAAAGCGCTTTCAATTCACACTCGGAGTCGAAACAGGAAGATTTAAGAGCATCAAGAGCGTTGGATGAAGTGGCCGATCTACAGTCTAGTCTAGTGAATGCAAATCTGCAAATGCATCATATTTTTGCCAGCGATGAAGATCTTTATTAGTTGAACATCTTCGTAAGCTGTCTGTGAATGAATGATTCCACAGGACGAAACATTCGGTTTCATTTCATTCAGGTAATACATTGTGTGTGTATTGCGCGTGAATTGCGCAGTGGCATAATCACACGAATAGTTTACATTGATTGAAACTAATTTGTTTAAAAATGAGGCTATTGCAGTAACAAGGCAGGTTCACATAAAATTCTTATGACATATGATGACATTATTTTTTGATCTAACGAGCATTGGCGATGCAAAAACGGACTGTCATGCGTATTGTTTTTTTTCTTCTTCCAATTAGCCTACTATGTTAAAAAAAGGACGAAAACATGTTACTTGTTCAATTAATAAACAGTTTGTTTGATGACAAATCGCTAAAGATGAAATTGGCCTCCCTTTCTGTCATTGCATTTTTTTGTTTGTTTGTTTTTTTAACGATATTCGACTTTTGCTCCTCGATTATCGAATGGCATTTTTGGCAGAAATGCACATCCCTACGCGAGGCTAACTATTCTCAAAGACTTACTTTTAGTCATTATTTGGGTAGCACACATATTCTGAATGCCTTCGGGAGAATTCAAATGAGCCATTTTAATCTAGATTAATCTAGATTAATTTCAATATTAATCTAGATTAATCTAGATTAAAAAAATTAATCTATGCCCACCTCTAGTAAAAATCAGAAGGATGTGACGTTTACGCTCCCGACACATGAACGAATGCTTATAGAAGGTTCAGGGAAAGAGTCGTTCTGTTCTGTAATGTCAATGTGTCATTCATAGAAAAATGATTAATTCAAACTATAGTCTCACATAGCCAGATCTACAGGTGAAACTGGAAAAATTAGAATATGGTGCAAAAGTTCATTTATTTCAGTAAGTCAACTTAAAAGGTGAAACTAATATATTATATAGACTCATTACATGCAAAGTGAGATATTTCAAGCCTTTATTTGTTATAATTGTGATGATTATGACTTACAGATATGAACCTTTTCACAATATTCTAATTTTTCCAGTTTCACCTGTATACAGTCTAAAATATACTTTAAGATTACACTGTTATGATAGTTTGATTATAATGACCTCATCTGTCGACATGATGCCGGTGAAACATCACTATGATCAGATGCTTTCATTTTAGTGTGTTTATTGTGTTATTCACACCCTCTATATATGAAGGATGTGTAACTCACAGCGAACGGATCCGCCTGCGCCCAGGAGATGGGGAAACCCCACGATGACAGTCTCATTTTGTCGGGCAGAGACTCGGGAACCACCAGCAGGATGAAGAGAATATCGGCCACTGCGATGATGGTGGCGAGCAGAACCACCAGACTGTCCCCGTACCGGACCGACAGGACCGCTCCGATAGCCGGACTCGTCACCAAACTCGCTGCGAACGTGGCCGAAACCTGAAACACCAAACAACCAGACAGATGAAACACCGAGACAGCAGGTGTTTCCTGCAGCTCAGACAGGAGAGCGCTGGCGCTTGCAACGCCAAGGTCATGGGTTCGATTCCCAGGGAAAGCAAGAACTGATAAGAATGTAGATGTGGAGCTTGAGACAGGCACGGCGCCAGGATTCCAGGTTTGGATGGGCCAGACCAATTGTGGGTGGGCCTTAAATTAAAAACGTTATCCAATCACTGTTTAACCTAATAAAAATTACTGACTAATATATCTGTACGTAGGCTATTTTAATAGCTTGGTGCTCTTTAAATATTTTGTTGCATTGTTACAAAGTTTCGGTGCATATGGAGTCAAGACGGACCTATCTGCGATCACTCTCCTTGGTCCTGACCAAAGAAGAGCGCTTTGGAATCTCCATTACGCATCATACCTGGGCTGCGTTTCCCGATAGAAGAAAAAGCGGTGTTCTTTATAAAAGAAGCACTTCAGAAATAGTTTGAATTGCATTTATTAGGACTCATGGTATGCAGAGGCGCTGGCGCCCTCCTAGCAACGGCGCTGGTCGCGCTAGCAGCGATAGTCGTACTATAGCGGGTGGCAGAGACGAAGATGTGCTACTGCTAGGTGATGTGTATCTCAGCTTTCCTTCATCTCCTGGTTGCAGCGATGACGACTGTACGTGCGCGTTTAAGGTACCTAAACAACGACTGTTGCAACATTGTCCTTTACTGGAAATTATTTTCACACTTTCACAAGCTAATGATAAGCGCTGAAGCTGCAATATTTCTGGAGACATGGAGTGGGTAAAACATTATTTTGACCACTTGAGTTTTGTTTTGTAGAAAGACATTTTTTTTTTTTTAAGATTTTCGTTTCGTATAAATTGTATCTTAATTTTGATCAAAGTTTTATCAACCAATTGCCCGTATTTAATAAATAAGAAGCAATATATAGCAGACAATGTAATGAGGCGCCGGCACGATCACTTGCATTGCACGACAACTGGAGCATGTTTCCGCCACAGTAAAAAATAAAAAATGTAATTGCGATTTTTTAATCTCACAATTCTGACTTTTTATCTCAGAATTACATGATAAAGTGGCAATTGCAGGTTAGCTATAAAGTCAGAATTGCGTGATATAGGCCTAAAGTCGCAACTGTATGTTATTAAGTCAAAATTGCGTGATATAAAGTGCGAGAAATATAGCTTGAAATTCTGACTTTTTTTCACAGAATTGCATGTTTATATCTCGCCATTCTGACTTTATAATACGCAATTGAGAGATATAAAGGCAGAATTGCATGATATAAAGTCGCAATTGCGTGTTACAAAGTCAGAATTGAATTGTTAGATATAAACTATTCTCGGGTAAAAAAAAAAAAAAAAAAAAAAAGCAATTGCGACTTTATTTCACGCAATTCTGACTTTATAACACGCAAATCGCGGCTTTATTTCACGCAATTCTGAGTAATAAAGTCAGAATTGTGAGATGTAAACTCGCAATTGTGAGATAAAAAGTCGCAATTATCTTTCAAAATTTTTTATTCTATGGCGGAAACAAGCTTCCATAGTATAGGCTACTATAGCCTATCCTATTTAAGTAGCCTAATTAAATTAATATAAAGGGGCGATTTGCCCACTAATGGCTTAAATGAACAACTAGGGGAAAAAAATAGTCGGAGGCCTTATTCCACATATCTTGGAAGTTCGAGCCAGCAGGCCATTCTGGGTTGAGCGCGCGACCCTGCGGAATGAGTGAGCAGAGCGGAATATTCAGAAATGCGCTCTCTGCTCACATGCTCTGATCGGAACAAACCCGAACACTGTCTGCTGAACTTGCGCAGAAACATCAAAATATACATAACCAGCTTTTTAAAATTGTTTTTAAAACTAAACATTTAGACTATTTTAGCACAAATTATGTGCTTATTGGCGATTTTTTTTATAATTATTGACAAAACATTTTTGAAGAAAAGTTTTGGGTGGGCCTGTTGAAAAGTGGGTGGGCCTAGGCCCGTCAGGCCCACCCATAACGCCGTGCCTGGCTTGAGATGCAGTGTAAGTCGCTTTGGATAAAAGCGTCGCCAAATGCATAGATGTAATTGATGGAGGGAAAATATGTAAAGCATCTGGAGTGAGAGATTTAGTCTTATTGCGCTTTATAAAGTACAGATTGTTTCAAAGCAGCTTCACAGTGACAAACAGGAAAATAACAAAATCAATGATGCAAACTACATCAATTAAGAAACACTAATAATAGAACAGATGTAATCATTCGAGCATCTGCATTTGAGCTGATGGCTAATATAATCGCTATAGTATGTGTGTGTGTGTGTGTGTGTGTGAGTCTGTGTGAGTGCGTGTGTATTTATGTGTGTTTATGAGTGTGTATGAGTGTGAGAGTGTGTTTGTGTGTATGTGTGAGCGTGTGTGTGGGGGGGGGGGGGGGGGAGAGTGTGTTTGTGTGTATGTGTGAGTGTGTGTGTGTGTGGGGGGGAGAGAGTGTGTTTGTGTGTATGTGTGAGTGTGTGTGTGTGTGGGGGGGAGAGAGTGTGAGTGTGTGTGTGTGTGTGTGTGTGTGTGTTTATGAGTGTGACTGTGTGTGTGTGTGTGTGTGTGTGTGTGTGTGTGTGTTTATGAGTGTGACTGTGTGTGTGTGTGTGTGTGTGTGTGTGTGTGTGGGAGAGTGTGAGTGTGTGTGTGTGGGAGAGTGTGTGTGTGTGTGTGTGTGTGTGAGTGTGAGTGTGAGTGTGTGTGTGAGTGTGAGTGTGAGTGTGAGTGTGAGTGTGAGTGTGAGTGTGTGTGTGTGGGAGAGTGTGTGTGTGTGAGTGTGAGTGTGAGTGTGAGTGTGTGTGTGTGTGAGTGTGAGTGTGTGTGTGTGTGTGTGTGTGTGTGTGTGTGTGTGAGTGTGAGTGTGAGTGTGTGTGTGTGTGTGTGTGTGTGTGTGTGTGTGTGTGTGTGTGTGTGAGTGTGAGTGTGAGTGTGAGTGTGTGTGTGTGTGTGAGAGGTGTTCTCACCAGTCCATACGCTGTGCTTCTTTCATGCTCTTCTGTAATATCAGCCACATACGCAAATATCACAGAAAATGTAACAGAGAAAAGTCCAGACACTGACATCAGAGCAAAGAAACACCTGATGAAGAGAGACAGGGATACACACACATCACCTTTATGCCTGTAAACATGTCAGTTCATTTTAACAACAGAAACATCAACAGGTCCAACGCTGTCGAGCTCAAACTATAAAACAATCAAAGTCAGTCGTGAATCAATGCATTCATCCTCACTGGGTTACAAGAGACTAGTCACTTGAGAGTCATGTGATGGAGCTCTCTCTCTCACACACACACACACACATATACGCTCTCTCTCTCACACACACACACACACACGTACCATGGGCTGATCCTCATCAGTGGGATTGGGGCGCAGGTGAAGAACACTGTGAGCAGCAGGAAACTTTTTCTGCCCCAAATATCAGACAAGGCCCCGATCAGTGGAGCGCTCATGAACGACAGCAAACCCTGCAAACACAGCAAACACACTCCAGTTACGACTACACACTCCAGTTACGACTACACACTCCAGTTACGACTACACACACTCCAGTTACGACTGAACACACTCCAGTTACGACTACACACTCCAGTTACGACTGAACACACTCCAGTTACGACTACACACTCCAGTTACGACTACACACTCCAGTTACGACTACACACACTCCAGTTACGACTACACACTCCAGTTACGACTGAACACACTCCAGTTACGACTACACACACTCCAGTTACGACTACACACACTCCAGTTACGACTACACACACTCCAGTTACGACTACACACACTCCAGTTACGACTACACACTCCAGTTACGACTGAACACACTCCAGTTACGACTACACACACTCCAGTTACGACTACACAAACTCCAGTTACGACTACACACACTCCAGTTACGACTGAACACACTCCAGTTACGTCTGAACACACTCCAGTTACGACTACACACACTCCAGTTACGACTGAACACACTCCAGTTACGACTACACACACTCCAGTTACGACTGAACACACTCCAGTTACGACTGAACACACTCCAGTTACGACTACACACTCCAGTTACGACTACACACACTCCAGTTACGACTACACACTCCAGTTACGACTGAACACACTCCAGTTACGACTACACACACTCCAGTTACGACTACACACACTCCAGTTACGACTACACACACTCCAGTTACGACTGAACACACTCCAGTTACGACTGAACACACTCCAGTTACGACTACACACACTCCAGTTACGACTACACACACTCCAGTTACGACTACACACACTCCAGTTACGACTACACACACTCCAGTTACGACTACACACTCCAGTTACGACTGAACACACTCCAGTTACGACTACACACACTCCAGTTACGACTACACACACTCCAGTTACGACTACACACACTCCAGTTACGACTACACACACTCCAGTTACGACTACACACACTCCAGTTACGACTACACACACTCCAGTTACGACTACACACACTCCAGTTACGACTGAACACACTCCAGTTACGACTGAACACACTCCAGTTACGACTGAACACACTCCAGTTACGACTACACACTCCAGTTACGACTGAACACACTCCAGTTACGACTACACACTCCAGTTACGACTACACACACTCCAGTTACGACTACACACTCCAGTTACGACTGAACACACTCCAGTTACGACTACACACACTCCAGTTACGACTACACACACTCCAGTTACGACTACACACACTCCAGTTACGACTGAACACACTCCAGTTACGACTGAACACACTCCAGTTACGACTACACACACTCCAGTTACGACTGAACACACTCCAGTTACGACTACACACACTCCAGTTACGACTACACACACTCCAGTTACGACTACACACACTCCAGTTACGACTACACACACTCCAGTTACGACTACACACACTCCAGTTACGACTGAACACACTCCAGTTACGACTACACACACTCCAGTTACGACTGAACACACTCCAGTTACGACTACACACACTCCAGTTACGACTACACACACTCCAGTTACGACTGAACACACTCCAGTTACGACTACACACACTCCAGTTACGACTACACACACTCCAGTTACGACTACACACACTCCAGTTACGACTGAACACACTCCAGTTACGACTGAACACACTCCAGTTACGACTACACACACTCCAGTTACGACTACACACACTCCAGTTACGACTACACACACTCCAGTTACGACTGAACACACTCCAGTTACGACTACACACACTCCAGTTACGACTACACACACTCCAGTTACAACTACACACACTCCAGTTACGACTACACACACTCCAGTTACGACTACACACACTCCAGTTACGTCTACACACACTCCAGTTACGTCTACACACACTCCAGTTACGACTACACACACTCCAGTTACGACTGAACACACTCCAGTTACGACTGAACACACTCCAGTTACGACTACACACACTCCAGTTACGACTACACACACTCCAGTTACGACTACACACACTCCAGTTACGACTACACACACTCCAGTTACGACTACACACACTCCAGTTACGTCTACACACACTCCAGTTACGACTACACACACTCCAGTTACGACTACACACACTCCAGTTACGACTGAACACACTCCAGTTACGACTGAACACACTCCAGTTACGACTACACACACTCCAGTTACGACTACACACACTCCAGTTACGACTACACACACTCCAGTTACGACTGAACACACTCCAGTTACGACTACACACACTCCAGTTACGACTACACACACTCCAGTTACAACTACACACACTCCAGTTACGACTACACACACTCCAGTTACGACTACACACACTCCAGTTACGACTACACACACTCCAGTTACGTCTACACACACTCCAGTTACGTCTACACACACTCCAGTTACGACTACACACACTCCAGTTACGACTGAACACACTCCAGTTACGACTACACACACTCCAGTTACGACTACACACACTCCAGTTACGACTACACACACTCCAGTTACGACTGAACACACTCCAGTTACGACTACACACACTCCAGTTACGTCTACACACACTCCAGTTACGACTACACACACTCCAGTTACGACTACACACACTCCAGTTACGACTGAACACACTCCAGTTACGACTGAACACACTCCAGTTACGACTACACACACTCCAGTTACGACTACACACACTCCAGTTACGACTACACACACTCCAGTTACGACTGAACACACTCCAGTTACGACTACACACACTCCAGTTACGACTACACACACTCCAGTTACAACTACACACACTCCAGTTACGACTACACACACTCCAGTTACGACTACACACACTCCAGTTACTTACGACTACACACACTCCAGTTACTTACGACTACACACACTCCGGTTACGACTGAACACACTCCAGTTACGACTACACACACTCCAGTTACGACTACACACACTCCGGTTACGACTGAACACACTCCAGTTACGACTGAACACACTCCAGTTACGACTACACACACTCCAGTTACGACTACACACACTCCAGTTACGACTACACACTCCAGTTACGACTACACACACTCCGGTTACGACTGAACACACTCCAGTTACGACTACACACACTCCAGTTACGACTACACACACTCCGGTTACGACTGAACACACTCCAGTTACGACTGAACACACTCCAGTTACGACTACACACACTCCAGTTACGACTACACACACTCCAGTTACGACTACACACACTCCAGTTACGACTACACACACTCCAGTTACGACTACACACACTCCAGTTACGACTACACACACTCCAGTTACGACTACACACACTCCAGTTACGACTACACACACTCCAGTTACGACTGAACACACTCCAGTTACGACTGAACACACTCCAGTTACGACTACACACTCCAGTTACGACTGAACACACTCCAGTTACGACTACACACTCCAGTTACGACTACACACACTCCAGTTACGACTACACACTCCAGTTACGACTGAACACACTCCAGTTACGACTACACACACTCCAGTTACGACTACACACACTCCAGTTACGACTACACACACTCCAGTTACGACTGAACACACTCCAGTTACGACTGAACACACTCCAGTTACGACTACACACACTCCAGTTACGACTGAACACACTCCAGTTACGACTACACACACTCCAGTTACGACTACACACACTCCAGTTACGACTACACACACTCCAGTTACGACTACACACACTCCAGTTACGACTACACACACTCCAGTTACGACTGAACACACTCCAGTTACGACTACACACACTCCAGTTACGACTGAACACACTCCAGTTACGACTACACACACTCCAGTTACGACTACACACACTCCAGTTACGACTGAACACACTCCAGTTACGACTACACACACTCCAGTTACGACTACACACACTCCAGTTACGACTACACACACTCCAGTTACGACTGAACACACTCCAGTTACGACTGAACACACTCCAGTTACGACTACACACACTCCAGTTACGACTACACACACTCCAGTTACGACTACACACACTCCAGTTACGACTACACACACTCCAGTTACGACTACACACACTCCAGTTACGACTACACACACTCCAGTTACGACTGAACACACTCCAGTTACGACTACACACACTCCAGTTACGACTACACACACTCCAGTTACAACTACACACACTCCAGTTACGACTACACACACTCCAGTTACGACTACACACACTCCAGTTACGACTACACACACTCCAGTTACTTACGACTACACACACTCCGGTTACGACTGAACACACTCCAGTTACGACTACACACACTCCAGTTACGACTACACACACTCCGGTTACGACTGAACACACTCCAGTTACGACTGAACACACTCCGGTTACGACTGAACACACTCCAGTTACGACTACACACACTCCAGTTACGACTACACACACTCCAGTTACGACTACACACACTCCAGTTACGACTACACACACTCCAGTTACGACTACACACACTCCAGTTACTTACGACTACACACACTCCGGTTACGACTGAACACACTCCAGTTACGACTACACACACTCCAGTTACGACTACACACACTCCGGTTACGACTGAACACACTCCAGTTACGACTGAACACACTCCGGTTACGACTGAACACACTCCAGTTACGACTACACACACTCCAGTTACGACTACACACACTCCAGTTACGACTACACACACTCCAGTTACGACTACACACACTCCAGTTACGACTACACACACTCCAGTTACGACTACACACACTCCAGTTACGACTGAACACACTCCAGTTACGACTACACACACTCCAGTTACGACTGAACACACTCCAGTTACGACTGAACACACTCCAGTTACGACTACACACACTCCAGTTACGACTGAACACACTCCAGTTACGACTACACACACTCCAGTTACGACTACACACACTCCAGTTACGACTACACACAATCCAGTTACGACTACACACACTCCAGTTACGACTACACACACTCCAGTTACGACTACACACACTCCAGTTACGACTACACACACTCCAGTTACTTACGACTACACACACTCCGGTTACGACTGAACACACTCCAGTTACGACTACACACACTCCAGTTACGACTACACACACTCCGGTTACGACTGAACACACTCCAGTTACGACTGAACACACTCCGGTTACGACTGAACACACTCCAGTTACGACTACACACACTCCAGTTACGACTACACACACTCCAGTTACGACTACACACACTCCAGTTACGACTACACACACTCCAGTTACGACTACACACACTCCAGTTACGACTACACACACTCCAGTTACGACTGAACACACTCCAGTTACGACTACACACACTCCAGTTACGACTGAACACACTCCAGTTACGACTGAACACACTCCAGTTACGACTACACACACTCCAGTTACGACTGAACACACTCCAGTTACGACTACACACACTCCAGTTACGACTACACACACTCCAGTTACGACTACACACAATCCAGTTACGACTACACACACTCCAGTTACGACTACACACACTCCAGTTACGACTACACACACTCCAGTTACGACTACACACACTCCAGTTACGACTACACACACTCCAGTTACGACTACACACACTCCAGTTACGACTACACACACTCCAGTTACGACTACACACACTCCAGTTACGACTACACACACTCCAGTTACGACTACACACACTCCAGTTACGACTACACACACTCCAGTTACGACTACACACACTCCAGTTACGACTGAACACACTCCAGTTACGACTACACACACTCCAGTTACGACTACACACACTCCAGTTACGACTGAACACACTCCAGTTACGACTGAACACACTCCAGTTACGACTACACACACTCCAGTTACGACTACACACACTCCAGTTACGACTGAACACACTCCAGTTACGACTACACACACTCCAGTTACGACTACACACACTCCAGTTACGACTACACACACTCCAGTTACGACTGAACACACTCCAGTTACGACTACACACACTCCAGTTACGACTACACACACTCCAGTTACGACTACACACACTCCAGTTACGACTACACACACTCCAGTTACGACTACACACACTCCAGTTACGACTACACACACTCCAGTTACGACTACACACACTCCAGTTACGACTACACACACTCCAGTTACGACTGAACACACTCCAGTTACGACTACACACACTCCAGTTACGACTGAACACACTCCAGTTACGACTACACACACTCCAGTTACGACTACACACACTCCAGTTACGACTACACACACTCCAGTTACGACTACACACACTCCAGTTACGACTACACACACTCCAGTTACGACTGAACACACTCCAGTTACGACTACACACACTCCAGTTACGACTGAACACACTCCAGTTACGACTACACACACTCCAGTTACGACTACACACACTCCAGTTACGACTGAACACACTCCAGTTACGACTACACACACTCCAGTTACGACTACACACACTCCAGTTACGACTACACACACTCCAGTTACGACTACACACACTCCAGTTACGACTACACACACTCCAGTTACGACTACACACACTCCAGTTACGACTACACACACTCCAGTTACTACACACACTCCAGTTACGACTACACACACTCCAGTTACGACTACACACACTCCAGTTACGACTACACACACTCCAGTTACGACTACACACACTCCAGTTACGACTACACACACTCCAGTTACGACTACACACACTCCAGTTACGACTACACACACTCCAGTTACGACTACACACACTCCAGTTACGTCTACACACACTCCAGTTACGTCTACACACACTCCAGTTACGTCTACACACACTCCAGTTACGTCTACACACACTCCAGTTACGTCTACACACACTCCAGTTACGACTGAACACACTCCAGTTACGACTACACACACTCCAGTTACGACTACACACACTCCAGTTACGACTACACACACTCCAGTTACGACTACACACACTCCAGTTACGACTACACACACTCCAGTTACGACTACACACACTCCAGTTACGACTACACACACTCCAGTTACGACTACACACACTCCAGTTACGACTACACACACTCCAGTTACGACTACACACACTCCAGTTACGACTACACACACTCCAGTTACGACTACACACACTCCAGTTACGTCTACACACACTCCAGTTACGTCTACACACACTCCAGTTACGTCTACACACACTCCAGTTACGTCTACACACACTCCAGTTACGACTGAACACACTCCGGTTACGACATTCAATGCAAAACTGCCTTTTACACAGTAAGAAAAACAGGACAGTTAATATCTAGCCAATAATGATCGAGGACTGTCACACATTATAACTACAGTGAACACAAATGCCATGCAAATGTGAGCCACTGACCTTGACGCCCTGGATGAGGCCGTTCATGAGGAACGTGTGCTGTGGGAAGGTTTCGCGCAGCACCTGTAATGAAGAACAGGTCAGAGAACAGTGTGTGTGTGTGTGTGTGTGTGTGTGTGTGTGTGTGTGAGACGCACCGTCAGCATCGGCGTGGTCAGGAGACCCCAGGAGAAGAACTCCAGGAAGATCACAGCCACCGCATGAGACACCCTCGCCCGGCCCACACTGAGCTGCTGGAAAACACACACACACACACACACACACACACACACACAGCTGTGAAACATGACAGTCTCATGTGTGAGAGAGAGAGTGTCAGTGTGTGTGTGTGAAGGAGAGTGTATGTGTATGTGTGTGTAGGTGTGTCTGTATGAGTGAGTGTGTGTGAGAGAGAATGTGTGTGTCTGTGTCAGAGTGTGTGTGTGTTTGTCTGTGTATGTGTGTGTGTGTGTAAGTGTGTCTGTATGAGTGAGTGTGTGTGAGAGAGAATGTGTGTGTCTGTGTCAGAGTGTGTGTGTGTTTGTCTGTGTATGTGTGTGTGTGTGTAAGTGTGTCTGTATGAGTGAGTGTGTGTGAGAGAGAATGTGTGTGTCTGTGTCAGAGTGTGTGTGTGTTTGTCTGTGTATGTGTGTGTGTGTGTAAGTGTGTCTGTATGAGTGAGTGTGTGTGAGAGAGAATGTGTGTGTGTGTGTTTGTCTGTGTGAGTAGTATGTATGTGTATGTGTGTGAGAGAGAGTAAGTGTGTGTGTGAGTGAGAGAGAGAGTGTTTGTGTGTGTGTGTGTGTGTGTGTGTGTGTGAGTGAATGAGTGAGTGTAATTGTGTGAGAGAGTGTATGTGTTTGAGTGTGTGTGTGTGTGAGAGTGAGTGTGAGAGAGAGTGTATGTGTGTGAGTGAGTGAGTGAATTTGTGTGAGAGAGTGTATGTGTGAGTGTATGTGTGTGTGTGAGAGAGTGTATGTGTGTGTGTATGTGTGTGTGTGAGAGTGAGTGTGAGAGAGTGTATGTGTGTGAGAGTGAGTGTGTGAGAGAGAGTGTATGTGTGTGAGTGAGTGAAATTGTGTGAGAGAGTGTATGTGTGTGTGTGTGTGTGTGTGTGTGTGTGTGTGTGTGTGTGTGTGTGTGTGTGTGTGTGTGTGTGAGAGTGAGTGTGAGAGAGAGAGAGTGTATGTGTGTGAGAGAGTGTATGTGTTTGAGTGTGTGTGTGTGTGTGTGTATGTGTGTGTGAGAGTGAGTGTGAGAGAGAGTGTATGTGTGTGTGTATGTGTGTGTGTGAGAGTGAGTGTGAGAGAGAGAGTGTATGTGTGTGATTGAGTGAGTGTATTTGTGTGAGAGAGTGTATGTGTGTGTGTGTGAGAGAGTGAGTGTGAGAAAGCGAGTGTATGTGTGTGTGTATGTGTGTGTGTGAGAGTGAGTGTGAGAGAGAGAGTGTATGTGTGTGAGTGAGTGAGTGTAATTGTGTGAGAGAGTGTATGTGTGTGTGTATGTGTGTGTGTGAGAGAGAGAGTGTATGTGTTTGAGTGTGTGTGTGTGTGTGTGTATGTGTGTGAGTGAGTGAGTGTATTTGTGTGAGAGAGTGTATGTGTGTGTGTATGTGTGTGTGAGAGAGAGAGAGTGTATGTGTGTGAGTGAGTGAGTGTAATTGTGTGAGAGAGTGTATGTGTGTGAGTGAGTGAGTGTATTTGTGTGAGAGAGTGTATGTGTGTGTGTGTGTATGTGTGTGTGTGTGAGAGAGAGAGTGTAATTGTGTGAGAGAGTGTATGTGTTTGAGTGTGTGTGTATGTGTGTGTGAGAGTGAGTGTGAGAGAGAGAGTGAGTGTGAGAGAGAGAGTGTGTGTGTGTGTGAGAGAGTGTATGTGTGTGAGTGAGTGAGTGTATTTGTGTGAGAGAGTGTATGTGTGTGTGAGAGAGAGAGTGTAATTGTGTGAGAGAGTGTATGTGTTTGAGTGTGTGTGTATGTGTGTGTGAGAGTGAGTGTGAGAGAGAGAGTGAGTATGTGTGTGAGTGAGAGTGAGTGTATTTGTGTGAGAGAGAAAAACCATGAATCTGTCATTATAGATCCTTCTGAGCACGTGACAGAATTAAACATCAC